AGCTGAACCCTGCAGTCCTTTGGCACCTGCCCCCCGTGGGGCGCCGCCCCGGGGCAGGAGGGGCTGCTGTTGCAGACGGTGACCACGCGGAGCGTGCGGATGTCGTCTGAGCGCCTGTGGGGCTCGCGGTAGACAGACTCGGTGACGAAGACGTTCTGGATGGACTTCTCCACGATGACCAGCACGGAGTAGGGCAGGTTGTACCAGGTGTACGGCGGGCAGGTCTCCGCGCACAGGAAGGCCAGGATGGAGCCCCAGGAAATGAGCCAGGAGCCCGAGGCCGCGCCCACCAGCAGGTCGGCGTCCAGCTTGCGGGCGGGGTTTTTGGACTGGTCCAGCGCCCGCTCGTGGATTCGGTAGATCCAGATGCCCAGCAAGCCCGCGGCGCCCATGAGCAGGAGCACGGTCGTGGCGTACAGGTAGAACATGATCAGGGCGGACTCGCTCTTGGTCTGGGAACGTCCTATCCAGACCAGGTACACCACCACCACCCCGATGGTGGCGGCCAGTGCAGCCAGGCCCAGGGCCAAGCCTGCCATGACCCCGTTGACCTTGAACCGCATCTTGGGGTGCTGCTGGCCGTCCACCTGGCGGCCGATGTTCATCCACAGCACGTAGAACATGGTGGAGGCCAGGATCTGGTATTCGATGTTGAAGGGGTACAGGTAGTAGATCCCGTGGGAGACGGCAGAGCAGAGGGCCGGCGGCGTGCAGTTGCACCGCGGCGTGTGGTCATCTAGAACTGCAGAAAGAGCAGGCTCAGTGGGGACGTGCCGAGAAATGCTCTCCCAGTCGGTTCCCACTTGGGTTTTCCCAAGGAGCACAAAGCATCTATCGAGTCTGACCTCCTGGTGAACAGCCTGTCTACGCAATCTGACAGACTAGAAGTGCATCTTCCCAGGGAGAGAGAGTACTGAAGACACGCATCAGGTGTCAGCCCTACATCAGGGTGGGAGTCATTACACATGGTGCTAAGAAATGTACTTACGGCCTGGTCACGAAACCGGTGCCAAGCCAGGCTGTCAGAGAGGACGTGGGTTGTGCCTCTGCTTTCGTAAATTATGGATGCCGATGTGATCAATAAATAGGTTGGTAGACAGACAGACAGACAGGCAGGCAGGCAGGCAGGCAGACTGGCCCAAGGCTGCACAGGTGGCAGCCTGTCACGCCGTAGCGGCCCATGTGTCAGTGTGATGGTGGAGGCACCCGTATCTCAAATACCAGCAGGGTCACCCATGACGGGCAGGGTTCAGCAGAGCTTCCAGACCCGGGAGAGATAAGAATGGAAGTCTCCCGCTGAGCATCAGCCCGTGAAAACGTCAGGGGTCACCGCAGAACACGGCTTGGCTCGTTCCCACCGGTGGGCCATCAGGGAGGGTCGGGGGAAGCAGAGGGCCAGAAAGAGTAGGGAATACCCCGGCAGAGATGACTGACCCCACAGCCATGACAGTGAGCTAGTGCATGTCACAGGTTGTGGGGCCAGACGGAAGCAGGCGGCATAGAGTTCTGTTGGGCATGAGTTAGCGTTGACTCTGGCTAGATATCATTGATCAACCAATCCTCTATTAGCTCTCTATCTACTGATCATCTATCTGTGTATCACTTATCTGTCTATCTTTTAACTACCATCTATCATCTCTCTCTCTCTCTCTCTCTTTCTCTCTCAGGGCACCAATGACCTATCTATCCCCTATCAATCTACTTATTGCTGATCTGTCATCTGTCTATCATCTATGTATCTATCAGCTAGCTTGCTCCCATCTCATCAATGTTTCTATCATTTATCAGCTAGCTAGCGATCATTTGTGTATTATTTATGTATCATTTGTCTGTCCACTTATCTATCAAATATCTATGTATCTATCCTCTCTCTGTTGTTGTTGCTTGGTTACCTGGAGTCAGTTCCCACCTATCCCAGCTCAAGAGAATGAAACACCGCCCAGCCCTGCACCATCCTCACAACGGTTCCGATGCCTGAGCCCATTGTCGCAGCCACCATGTCCATCCCTCTCATTGAGGGGCTTCCTCTTTTTTGCTGCCCCTCCACTTTACCGTGCATGGTAGTTACCGTCTATGGTAGTTACGTAATCTGGTGTTCATTTGGGACTTGAGAGGATTAAGAGTGAAGGGGTGGAGTCTAGTCTGTCAATCGGGTCATAGCCAATGAGGCCTCTGTGTGGGCATGGCCTTCTCCTGAGAATTCTGGGAATTTCTTATTTCCTCCTTAGAGGCAGGAGACACCTTTCTCTCTGCTCACTCCCTGAGATGATGTTCTACTGATAAGACACATGGCACCACGCCCTGGGAGTTGGAGAAGCCACATGGACCTACCCTGATGCAACCAGAGCTCTAGAGCCGGAGAAGCTACATAGCTACCCCTGCCAGCATTGAGATGTTTACGATGCTACTGGATCCAGAAGACTTCCCACCCACTGGCCTGTGATCCTCCTGCATTCGACATCATTGCATGTGTTTCATGAGTCAGAAGAGGACTTTATACATTGGTATCAGATAGATGGGCAAATATTGGACTTCTGGACTGATCTGGACTGGGCTGGGACGTTTTCTCAATATTCAATTGCTCTTGTAGATAACCCTCTTTCTCATACACATGTGAGTAGCTATGAATTTGTTTCTCTGGTCCACCCAGACTGACACAATGTCCTTCTCCAGGCACTGGACTCTCCTGACAACATGTCCAAAGGATGTGAGATGAAGGCTCCCCATCCTTGCCTCCAAGGAGCGCTCTGGTATTACTGCTTCCAAAATCCATCTATTATGTATTTATCTATCATCTATGCACGAGTAATCTATCATGTCATTCAACTATTAATTTATATCTCATCTATCATGTATCTAGCTAGCTAGCTATCATCTATATACCTATCACCTATTATCGATCTATCACCTATTTAGCTAGCTTTTAACTATTTACCTATCATCTACTTATCTAACATTTATCTATCAGCTGGCAATCTATCATCTATCACTTACCTATCATCTATCAACTAGCTAGTTATCATGTTATCATTTACCTCTCAAATATCCAGTGTCTATCATCTTCTGTAAAGAGCCTTTGAACATGCAAAGTCCATTCCCCCTCGTTTGACAAATGAGACAGAGGAGGCTCAGGGGCATTACGTGGCTCCAAACATCACCTAGCCGAGGAGTGCGTGGGGGCAGGACACCTGGGACATCCTGGGCCCCAGTTCATCACACTTTCCCTCCCCCACCCCCTCCTAACCCAAATGTTGTCAGGTAGAAGTAGAAGATCCTAAATGCTAAGGCACTTTGGGAAGAGACATAAAGCTGAGTGCTGTAGGCTCTCAAAGGAGAACAAGGAGGAAGAAAGAGGGGCCCAAATGATAAACCAAGGACAAGTCGATGATTTTAAACTTCAGATGAACTAAAAACCACTTAACCACAACCTACCATTAGGCTTCTATGGATTTTTCTTTTAACTATAAGCTTAGTAGAAAGAACTGGCAACAGAACCTTAATTAAACATGAACCCAACTGCCAATCTTCCGCACCTGAAAACAAAGACCTTCGTTTGGAGCCCAAGCGGAGCCACAAGAGCCGGCGGTGGAAATGATACCCCTGGTCCTTGCAAGTCCCTGAATCGCCGACCAGCCTTTCTTTAGCCGCAGCACTCCCTACTTATGTAGGAGGACAGATTCGGGAGGTTGTGCAAGACCTTCAACAACAGAGCATTGTCTGAGTGATGTGGGGTTAGCTGAACCCTGCAGTCCTTTGGCACCTGCCCCCCATCTCTGAGCGTCCCTGTCTCTGGAGGCTCCCAACATGCGGAGGGATATGCTGCACCCACTCACCTATGGTTATGTTTCCAAAGCCCAGCGTGATGAGCCGCTCCTTGTGCTCATTCAGCTGATGCTTTGACTCATTCAGGACGCTGTTGGCCCAGAGAAGAAGGTTGGTGAACACCGAGTGGATCACCCCAAACCTGCAAAACACACCGATGTCCATTGCAGTCGTGCCAACATTGGAAACCACTGAGACGTCCTTCTGCAGAGGGATGGACAAACCTGATGCGGGGCACCCACCCACAGAACACACGCAGCCACAGAGCGAAATGCAAGTCCTGACGCACACTCCTAGGTGACCGTGAAAGTGCCAGGCTGAGTAACAGAGCCTGGCCCCAAGGGTCAATGCTCTGTGCTCTCACTTGTGCGAGATGGGCAAACAGATGGAAACCAGAGGTTACCGGGGGTTCCTGGGGGCAGGAGGAGTGTTGGCTTGGGGGCCACTGAGTTTAAGTCAGTAGTGATGATGAATGAGTTCAAGTCGGTGGGGACAATGAGTAGTAGTGACACTGAGTGAGTTTCAATTGTGGGTGACAATGAATAGTAGTGACACTGAATGGGTATCAGTCAGTGGTGACAATGAGCAGGGACAGTGAATGAATCTAA